AAAATAAAAACTTATTTGTTTCTCAGCATTTTGGCTTTTTTTTTTTTTGGCAGGACACTTATGCGGAGCTGACTGATAGTACCAGAATTCTATGCATTCCTGTAGAAAGCTTTCAGGCTGAGCATAGACACGTCTAATATTTTGGACCTGTATAAATGGAACACAAAAAAAGTTTGGTGTTGCAGTTTAGAAGAACAGAGTTGGAAGGGGCCCTAGAGGTCCTCTAGTCCAACCCCTGCTGCTCAAGCAGGAGACCCTACACCATTTCAAACGAATGGTTATTAATTAATAGTAAATATAGTAATTATAAGCAGTAGGACCTTTTCCTTTTGTAGCCCCGTTTGCTGCCAGCCAGGAGCTCCATTCCCCCGTCCGCCTGCTTTGTAAGTGGCGGGGAGCTGAGATTCTTGGGGGAAAAACACCCTCTAACCAGCCCACCTACTTCTTCCCCCTCTCCTGTCACCCTTCCCACGGCCACCCTGCCGGTGTCCACCCCGCAATTTCTTTCAAGGCGACGGGACCCGCCATTCGTTCCCCTTAGCAACCGACCCCTCGGGACGCCTAGCAACCGAACCCACCCCTCCCTGCCTCCGGGCAACGCCGCACTGACCCGCACTCCAGCCTCGGGCAGCGCAGAAAAGCTCGGAGGGCGGGTCTTGTTCCCCCCCCCACACCTCTCCAATCGCTTGCCATTGGCTGCCGTCGGGAGCCGTCGGCTCGCCATTGGCCGGAGCGGCTACGAGAGGCCCGGCGGAGGAAGCGCGCTAATTGGCTGCCGCCGGCGTGGGTTCCTGGTTTTGAATCGCGCCCGGCGTCCTTGCCACGTTGCCTTCGCTCGGTCCTCATGGACCCGCCTCCTGAGCCCCGCGGGAGCAGCGGGGCGGGGCGTTCGGGAAAATCCGGAGGCGCTCGGAGGCGCTCGGGGGCGGCTTTAAAGGCGGCGCGCAGCCAAGCGCCCGCAGGGACGGTGAACGGCGGCGGCGGCGGCGGCGCGATGCTCACCGACAGTTTGGTGGAGGAGTTCGAGATACGCGAGGATGAGCCGTGGTACGACCAGCAGGACCTGCAGCAAGGTGAGCGGGCGGGCGGGCGGGACTGCTGCTTCTCCCTTGGACTACATGCCCCATTATCCCCAGCCGCCGCAGCCCCATTTCTTTGGGAGTTGGAACTCCGGAGCTTATTATTATCCTCCCGCCTCTCCTCTCCTCTCCTTGCTGAGCTCAAGGCCAGGACTACATTCCCCATGATCCCCAAACTCACCTTCTAATCTAGCCAATGTTCTCTTGGGTGGGGGGAACTCCAACACCTATTATCCTCCCCCCTTCCCATCTCCTGACCTTGCTGAGTTCAAGCCCTGGACTACACTCCCCCTTAACCCCAACCGACGCAGCTTCTAGCCAACATCCTTTTCCATCTCCTTTTCTTGCTGAGCCCTGGACTACACTCCCTATTATCCCCAACCCCACCTTCTAGCCAATGTTGTTTTTGGGTGGAGGGACTCCAGTGCCTATTATCCTCCCCCTTTCCCATCTCCTGTCCTTGCTGAGTTCAAGCCCTGGACTACACTATCCCCAACCGACACATAGTCCCTCCTTCTAGCCGGCATCCTCTTTGGGTGGATGGGTGGGGATGGGACTCCAGTGCCTATTATCCTCCCCCTTCCCATCTCCTCTCCTTGCGGAGCTCAAGTCCTGGACTCCACTTCCTATTGTCCCCCACTAACCCAACCCCACTATCCTCTGTGGCTGCGGCAGAAGGTTTGGAACTCCAGCGCCTATTATCCTCTGCCTTCCCATTTCTCTCTGTGCGCTAACTTCAAGCTTCAGACTACACTGCCCATTGTCCCCACCCAACGCAACTCTACCTTCTAGCCAACATCCTTTAGTCTTTTTTTGGGGGGGGGTGGAAATAGGGTGGAACTCCAACACCTATTATTCCTGTTATCCTGCGTGGGAAGGCTCCCTATCATCCCCAACGCGCTCCTCCAGCCAAGGGACCCCCGCTCCCATCACCCCCTGGCTAATCCAGAGGAGAGGGGGTAGGTGGGGTGGATTCCAGCTGTAGAGAGTTCCCTGCCTCCTTCCTACTCCAGTCCCCATCCTCCCCAGCTGGAATGGCTGGGTAGCTGTGGCACGGCGGGTCGGGGCTGGTAGGGGGTCACCCCTTCCTTTGCCTCCTTAACTGAGTGGGGGTTTCTTAGCCCCTTCTGTCCCTCCGTCCTCCCTTAAGACAATGGCTTTGTCTTTTAATTCTTCCTGCTCACCTGTGTGGGCATCTTCCTCTCCCCTCTCTCATCTTTGGTTGGTTAATTCTGCCCACCTGCCCTTACCCCGCTTTCTGCTGAAAGGAATTCCATCGTCCCCAGCCGGACTATTCCTTCCTTTCTTCCTTTCATCACTCTTCCCTGTTTCCTTCTTTCTTCTCCCCTTCCTTTCTTCCCTCCGTCAGTCATTCTCCTCCCTTCTCTCCTTCCTTTCTTCTATCACCCTTCTCTTTCCTTCGTTTTCCCCTTCCTTTCTTCCCTCTGTCAGTCACCCTTCTTCCCTTCCTTTCTTCTGTCACCCTTCTTTCCTTCTTCCTTCTCCCCTTCCTTTCTTCCTTTCTTCTATCACCCTTCTTTTTCCTTCTTTCTCCCCTTCCTTTCTTCCCTCCGTCAGTCACCCTTTTTCCCTTCCTTTCTTCTATCACCCTTCTTTCCTTCTCTCCTTCCTTTCTTCCTTTCTTCTATCACCCTTCTCTTTCCTTCCTTCTCCCCTTTCTTCCCTCCGTCAGTCACCCTTCTCCCCTTCTTTCTCTCCTTCCTTTCTTCTGTCACCCTTCTTCCTTCCTTCTTCTCATCTTCCTTTCTTTCCTCCGTCAATCACCGTTCTTCCCTTCCTCCTCTCCTTCTTTCCTTCCTTCCTTCCTTCTTTCCATCACTCTTCTCTCCTTCCTTCTGTCTGTCACCCTTTTTTCCTTCCTCCCTTCCTTCCGCTCGCAACTGTCCTGCCCTCTTTGTTCCTCCACCCTATCCCCTGTTCTATTATTCCCATCAGAATAACACTCCAAGGGACCCCCGCCTTATAAAAAGACCTTTCATCGTGAATAAAGGGGGAAATGCGAACATTAAAAGAGCCGAAGGGGTCAAAAGGAGAATAGCGGGGAGGGGGCCCCCCAAAGCGGGGTGGGGAAGGAGGACAATGAATAGAGGGAGGGGCATAGCTGGGAAGCCCCTTTAAGGAGAAAGATGGATGTGAACTTGGTGGATAAGGAGGAAGGGAGGCTGAGGAAAGAGAGAAAGAGCCAGAAAAAGAAACTGGGTTTTACAAAGCATAAATAAATGTGGGCAGAAGATCCTAGAGGTCAGCAATTTTAAAATGTCTGGACTTCAACTCCCAGAATTCCCCAGCCAGCCTGCCGGCTGAGGAATCATGAGAGTTAAATTCCAACCCTTTTAAAAATTGCTGAGGTTAAAAAACCCTGCCCTTGAAGATAATGTTCTTCGAAAGCCTGAGGAAAGACTTCTAAATGCAATTAAAGATGGCTAAGCCTGGTTCCTTGCTGTGTTTAATTTGGAAACTTAAATCCTGGGTTCAGCCGGAGTACTAATCCTTGCTTGCTTGGGAGTAATAGAGCTAAACCCTACGAAAGGCATTTTCCAAACGAAGGTTAGGCTACTGGAAAGCTGCAAATCAATGAACTTTTAGCTTTGGGGGATATTCCCATAGTTTAAGGCAGGTATGCAAAGAGAATTTGAGTCTATGGATGGTGCAATATTCCGATTCTAGGTTAATTGGCAAAGAAGAAATGCAAAAAAAAAAAAAAAATTAAAGATGTCTTATTATTGGACTTTCTTCAAAACATTTTGCTTCTCATCCATCCTTTATTTCTGTTCTTCAACCATGAACCTGGATGATTGAGAATCTCCAGAGATATATTTTACTACTGTATTTAAATTTAAATTTACAATGAGGGTTATCCCATGTTCCATAGGATTGGAAGGAAGGGGGGATTTTCTCTAGAATTTAGAGCTTTGCACACGACTTTGGGTATGCCATAAATTTGCCTAGTCGCTCCGATGGTGCGTACAGTGTAGAGGAGCGACAGGATTTGGGTGTGAAGTCCAGAGACACGTTGTGTGCAGATAAAAATAATAAGTGCTTTTATTACGATACTGGTGCCTCTGCTCTGTATTTAGTTCTGTTTTAAGGACTAACAAATTACATTTTTGCCTTTCTGTATTATCAGATGTCTTTCTTTGGATATTGGAAAAACTATTGAAATATTTTTGAAGGGAAATATTCTTACCTGACCTTCAAAGGTGTAACAAATCTGTTTTGAAAACATCTCTCCTTCACTTTTAGCATTTGTAAAAGCCTGCTGTTTAAAAGGCATACTTTTGAGATAATGCATTGTTTATGGAATGTTTTACACAAAGGACTTTCTTCAAATAGGGCTCACAATTTTCCCTTTTCCTGGCTGTCTCGATTGATGATGCAATATCTGAGACATACATTCATTTAAGCCAAGATGTTTATTCTCCAAATTGTTTGTTTTTAAATTATGAATCACAGCCCCGATTTCTTGGCTTTGGATGCAATGAAAATGCAGCTGTTGTCACATCCTGTCATTTTAAGTGAGTTTTAGGTCAGTTTCAAAGTGTGGAAGTGTCTTTTTTTTTTTTTAAAGACAAATTCATAATGAACCATTGGGACTATTGTGTTTGCTTAAGATAACCAGTTAGAAATATTGCACCAGTTGCAACATCTAAATTGCATATTCAGCTAGAAGATTATATTATCTGAGAGGTAGAAATTTATCAACAATCATGCACACTGTTTCCTTCACAACAATTAACATTGCAAACCTGTTTTCTTTTATGGTACTCTGAACTTTGGTCTAATTTTTGCAAGCTCTTCCTGCCGTTTAATATTGGGATTGTGGCGTTTTATGATTCATTTTCCAGACTTGGTGGCAGGTCATGTTGTTGTATTATGGCTTTACACGATGTTTCAGAATGATTATTTCTTGTGTGGTACAGGTAAACCACAACTTACAACAATTCATTTAGTGACCAAAGTTGCCACAGCAGTGGAAAAAAGTGATTTACGGCCGCCTCTTCATGGTTACATAATTAAAATTCAAAGGCCTGGCAACTGGCTCATTTTTATGACGGTTGCAGTGCCCGTCAAAGGGGAAACCAGATTCACTCAATGACCGTAGTACTAACTTAACTGCAGTGATTCACTTAACAACCGTGGCAAGAAAGATCTTAGAATTAGGCAAAGCTCATTCAACAAATCTCTCACTTAACAGAAATGTTGGGCTCAGTTGTGATCGTAACTCAAGGACTGTCGGTAGTCCTTGAGTCAGGTGTCTTTCTGAATGCCTCTCAAATTTCATATTCTTGCTTAGCGCTTCGCGACCTCCAAGCTGTAAGATAATGTAACATTGTAAGATAATGAGAAGATGAATTCCTTTGCTAGTTATCCACTCAAGATGACCATATAATTTTGCTGAGTACCTTCAATTGAACTTCAGTTCGCCTTAAAATTGAAACATTCTGGTAAAAACGCTAAGACATGCAGCTAATTTAGCTTCAATATTCTCCGGAGGAATGTTTCATCCGAAATAGGTTCCGCAGACTTTAGCACAAGCGATGTGTTGAAAAGAGATACACAACTTCAGGCGGTAGTACATTTTTGGAGTACGTAGGTGGATTGTTTTTGTAGTAATAGAAGTAGACTTAAGGGGATTTTCCACAGCTTTGTAATTGATGATCAAAGATACTATTGAAGCCTCGCTTGGAATTGGAACAGCAGCTA